CAAACGGGGCGCGCGCGCCCCGTTTGCGCAACGTAGGGAGAACCCTGTCATGTTACTCAGGTCATCCATTATCGTTGCTCTATTCCCTGCTACGTGCACTGTTCTTCGACACAAAGGTGAGCGACCTGCGTATTCAAGGCAGACAACGCATCGAGATAAACAACATGGCAAAGTTTACTCGCACATCCAGGCTGTCGCGGAGATGCGAAACTACTGGCGCAGAACATAGGCGGAGAACTGTCAATCGGTGTATTGACGTTAGTCACACAGCCTGGTCGGGTTAACTATAAGACAAGATTAATCTTGAGTAACACCTGGCAGTCCACACAAGCAGTTTCTTTGACATAATCAGAAAAATACACATATTTACACAACACATACTATACACGTGCATACACATTTTTAGTATTGTACTATTGAGAATATGCTCGCCTAGTCAATGCCGATACCGATGGCGATGCGGCTCATACGTAATTTAGCTTTCGTCTTGTGGCCCCTAGGCCTGATACTTCATTTGTAAGTTGTATAGTTGTAAGTTGTACAAGGACTCGCCGTGCGCACCAGCTGACATGATCTTACCAGCTAAGAATCAGCACAACTTCGTTATTTCATCTGTATTCCACACATAGCTTCCGCCAAGCTAAAATAGAAGTTCAATACGGTGATATTCTCTGCATGAAACAAGTTTGTTTACGTGGCAAAGGACGCCGCCATGCTTTGGGTTTGATTGACAGCCAACGTTCTCAGACGCAGTTCCTCGAAAATATCGTCAAAATTAACAAAGCTGAAAAAAATTTCCTTATCGTTATGTTAGGTACATATACTACTGCTCATGCATCTTCTAATTAAACTACCGTTGTCAGTGTGAAGTTATAAGAGTGAATGCATTACAAACGCGTAAGTATGCGGGCGGGTGTATTTGCGTGTGATAAAACGGGAACCAACAATTTACGACACCATTTCCGTTTACGCTTCCTGTGATGTTATTATTGCTCACCTCGTAATTATCCCATTGCAATGAAGCGGAATTTCATGGATAAGGATTCAAGGATAGATAGTAGGGCAAGGAGAGAAAATATATTAAAAAATAAAGAGCATTGACTCATTGAGTGCTGCGTAGGTTTTTGCTAAGGTAAGACCGTAAGTCACAAAACTCAAAAAGATTCAATAATCATTGCATGGCTTCACGTGCATTGATCATTGCATTGGCATTGTGATTGTCATTGATTTATCCATGTTGTGCCCAAACTTGGAATCTTGCACAAACTTGGAATTTCAGCGCATCCACAGTTTGGGCAACCAATCTTGAGATTGGGCAAACAGAGGTAAACACTAAAACAGAGCTTGCACAAACATAGCTCTACTCTAGTACTATAGCCGCTTACATTAACTGCCGCTGGGCTATAGACCGACCCATGGGGCATGCAATGGACTAAACCGACCAGGCTCTCCGACTAGTTACACGGCGGAGGACAGTACAGGCTCCGACTAGTTACACGCCTCTCGCCACGTAGTGTTAAGCGAGATGGGAACTTGTGGCTAGCAATGGACCAACTTACTCCAGCCAGTCAGCGGGAACTATGTATTTCCGCATGTGGAGGGGTGGGCGGGTTGCGGGTTGATATTACAATCTCTTTTGGTCGCTTAATTTGTTACCTACTTGACAACAACAATGTTTTTTTTCCACAACCACCCCAACCTGCCCACCCCTCCACATGCGGAAATACATAGTTCCCGCTGACTGGCGCTGCTGCAGCGCCGCCAGAAATGGCCATTTGAAGTTCGCAAATCGAATGTTTGTTCACAAGAAATACCGCAAGTATACCATTGCAACGATAGTTAGAGGTTCAATTTTAGTAGCGGCTATAACTTAAGACATATTCACTTCGGATAAGAGGCATTAATTGCCTACCACAGACGTTTTTTAGCCGGATATAATCGGGGATAAGTTGGTCCATTGCATGCCCCATGGGTCGGTCTATAGCCCAGCGGCAGTTAATGTAAGCGGCTATAGTACTAGAGCTAGCACAAACATATGATTATTAGGATTTCAAATGTTATATCATAACTATATAATAAAGCATTAAAGGTCGTATACCTTCTTTCCTCAATGAGTTTGGCACCTTTGTATAAATAACAAATGATTATAATAAATAATTGGATAAATATGAGATACAACCCTTCCTAGTTTGCACCACCCACACCATACACTCGCTATGAGCGGTTGTTGAATCACCGACTGTTTTCAGTTTGCACAATCTTAGGATTCATCATTGGTCAGCCAAACTAGGGAATCCACAGTTTGGGCAGCACAATCGTTGCACAATCTCGAGATTGGGCAGATTCCAAGTTTGGTTACAACATCCACAGGCACTTGGAGTTACATTTTCATGGAGAGAACATTTCTTGCAGGATTTCACGAGATATCTCTGGCGGGAGTTGGTAAGGACAAAGGGCAGAGTTATAATTCGAACAAGTGAACATTTCTGTACACATAGCTACCAAGATGGAAGCTGTTGGATGTGTATTTTTGCTGTGAAGGTGTGAAATGAAGCAAGCATTGAGCGAATTTCACGATCACGCTTTCCTACCTGCTCTCTTATTCATGTTGTTTGTGCACGCAGCACAGCGCGGGCGGGCGTGCGGTGTACTTGTGTGTTGCAGATGAGCATTTTACCGGCATTTACAGGTGATTATAGGCGAAATAGAGTAGAGAAACATTAAGACTTTGGTACATTTCGTGTTTATTTACCATTATTTTGTTTTATTGAGACGTTCCAAGTGCATGTGGTTTTATCATTTCATTAATAATACTAATTACTATGTTTATGTTTCATATGTTTATGTTTATGTTTATGTTATGTTTATGTTATGTTTATGTTAAATGTTTATGTTTTATGTTTATGCCTACTATTATGTTCATGGCTTCAATTTTCAAACGCTTTGTAAGGAGATATGGCATATGTTCTGCATTGCATTGTTCCGAAAACCCTTGCCATTGGCATCATTAAACTTTTATCCAATTCTATCTAAGTGATTAGCCTAGGCTACTATTATACTGAGCCGTTTTAATTACCACTACCAGTACAGTAAGTTCAAAGTTGAGTAACCCACAGTGTTGATCTACCAATTTCTATTTCAGTATTTGATCAACTCTCCTTCAGTCAGTTGTCCTCGTTGAGCAATGTCTTCAGTGGCAGTTACAATCTGAAATGCTGTGCTATCTGTAGCCTCTGTAACAATATCTTGTCATAATATATAAGACGGAAATCCAGTTTAAACATAGCCATTTATTAATCATGTTCTACTCATCCACACCGCAGGCTAGTCCCGGTTCCCGCCTCGCCTTGAACCCCCCAGTGCTCATGCTGGACCATGCTGCCACCTTCCGAGTACCAATGAGCACTATGTTTAGTAACATGATATGACATCCCCTTTTCGCTTAGAAGCATTAGAGACCGTCTGATTGGATCAAAGGCTGAGGGTAGCCACTAATGATACCGCTATTTACGAGGTGCATTTCAGTGATTATAAATTTGCGTTGATTGTCTACTTGTTCTGCGACGGAAGGTAAGTTTCAGATTTTACGTTATACAGGATGTATAACCGACTACCTATAAAACCATTAACATAATGGGTATGCACAGACGTAACTCACTATATAACATACAAGTAACATAACACAAAATGAACTACTCAATGTCACTTGAATATGACTCAAAATCATCTTTACATGTCAAACCCTTTTGGTGGAATGACTGCTCTACCTTATCGCCTACGATAAGTGTTAGCCACAGCCTCGCTGGAAGCACTATTATCATCACCCACTGGATGGCAGTTGGTTCCGGCATCCTGTAGGAAACGGACGCATTTTGCTGGATGTACTGGTGTGCTGTACTGATGTACTGTGCGTATCCAATCTGGCTGCTGTCTCAGGATCGCTGGTAGGTTGCACGGGGATATCGGCTTGAGCTAAGGTGTTCGCCTCCTCACACGTCTCCCTAATGTCACACCGGTTCCTCCTCAATGTAACACCAGAGGGCGTGTGTACCTTATACGAGCGTTGTTCTGGACGGATCCCAGTGACTATTCCTGGACGCCACTGGCCTGATGTCTGGTCTTGTATCCGAACGGGTTGTCCTTTGATAAGCGGGGCCAGGCTTCCTCCGGCCTTCTCGTCATAATATGCCTTTTGAGATGCCTGCCGCTGTAGAAGCCTCTGCATGGTCACATCCTTATTGGGTGCGTTGTTGTATATCCTCGTGGGGAGGTTCGCTTTCATTCTCCTCTCATTCAACAGTTCAGCTGGTGACGGGAGGTGATGGTCTATCGGTGTAGACCTGAGCACTAACATTGCCATGTCTACATCAATTCCTGCTGCTCTGGCTTTAGGCAGGACGTGTTTGACGGTCTGTACCTGGCGCTCAATCAGCCCGTTTGAATGCGGGTAATGAGGGCTCGCTGTTACATGGTCAAAACCCCACTTCTCGGCGAAAACCATGTAAGCTTGACCATCGAACTGTAGACCGTTATCACTTATTACGGTCTCAGGTACTCTTTGTTCAGCAAAGATACTCTTAGTTATGTTCACAATGGCCTGACTCGTGGCTCTGTCGCTAATTTTCTTGACGAAGGGGAACTTTGAGTAGTAATCACTGATGATTAGGTATTCATCACCTGACAGGTAGAATAGGTCCGTACCCAGGACTTGCCAGGGCCGGGTTGGAAGCTCATGCTGCAGCAGCGGCTCGTGACTCTGCGTCCTCTGAGCTTGCTGGCATATGCTGCACTTTCGGACCAGGTTCTCTATATCCGAGTTTATGTTGTTCCAGTACACACATGTTCGCGCTCTCAACTTCGTTTTCTCGATACCTTGGTGCGACTCATGTAGCTGAGCCAGAATGTCCGTTTGCATGTTTGCTGGAACTATGACACGATCACCTTTCATGATGACACCATCGTCTACGGTGAGCTCGTCCCTTTATGACCAATATGGATGCAGCAGGAGCGGAAGCTGTTTTTGCCTTTCCGGCCACCCTGTGACGACAATATTCATTAACGCACTAAGCTCTGCGTCGCTGCGTGTGCTGTCGCGCAGTGTTTGGCTCTTCTGGGTCGACCACTGTGCGTAATCCACTCTTATGTCTAGGTCGATTGTAGCGCAGTCATTCCCAGGTGATCTCGAGAGTGCGTCAGCTATCAGCACCTCTCTTCCTGGCCGGTATCGGATTGTGATGTCGTACGGTTGAATGCGTAGCAACATGCGTTGCCGTCGCTGCAGTGCAGCTGCCAAGTTTTTTAAGTGGATCATTTCAAGCGGCTTGTGATCCGACTCGACTGTGAAGTGCTTGCCGTACAAGTATGTGTGGAATTTCTCACACCCGAATACGACGTCTAGTAGCTTGCGTTCAATGTTGGCGTATCTCTGCTCGCAGTCACTCAATGCCTTTGACGCAAATGCCACTGGTCTGTCGTGTTGTAGTAATACGGCACCGAGGCCCTTGCTGGATGCATCGACCTGCAGTACAGACTCTTGCTTTGGGTCGAAGTAGCTGAGGGTGACCTCTCGGCAGATCAGCTCGATTATTTTCTTGGAAGCGATCTGATGTGACGAGGGCCACTAGAACTCTGTTCCTCCTTTCATGAGCTCTCGCAGAGGTGCAGTCACTTGCAATAGGTTCGGGATGAACGGAGACATGTATGTGACGATGCCTAGAAATTCCTGCAACTGCTTGGGGTCATTGGGCACCGCTAAATTCCTAATGTCTCTGACTTTGTTCGGGTCTGGGTGGACTCCATCGGGGTCAAACACGAGACCGAAGAACTTCATGCTTTGCTTATTGACCTCACATTTGTCAATGTTGAACACTAGGCCGTGTTCTCGTGCGACTTAAATGAGGTTGTGTAGGTTCCGGTCTTGGTCTTCCTTTGATTTACCGAACACTGCAACATCATCTGCGATGCCAGTGGTGCCTGGACACTGCTCCAGAATGTGATCCATACGTTCCTGGAACACATCTTGGCTCACGTTTCGTCCGAACGGGAGCCTCCGGAAACGATATCTGCCGAACGGGCTGTTGAACGTCGTGAGCCAGCTCGATTGCTCATCCAAGGATATCGACCAGTACCCATGACGGGCATCAAGTTTCGAGAAGGTAGTCGCCCCAGAAAATCTGTGCGTGATCTCTTCCAACGTGGGAGTCTTGTAGTGTGGACGCTTGATTTCCATGTTAAGATCCTTGGGGTCTAGGCACATGCGCAGTTGCCCATTTGACTTGCGACTGAATGCCAGGCTGCTGACCCAGTTGGCCGGCTCCGTAACTTTTGTGATTACGCCCATCTGCTCCATACCATCCACCTCTTTACGTAATTCGTCTCGTAGATGTATTGGGCAGCGTCCAGGGGCATGGACCACCGGCTGTACAGATGGGTCTACTGTTATGTGGAACATCCCTTTAAAGTTACCGATGCCCTCGAATCTGTCTGGGTATAGCTTGACCAAGACATCCTTACAGTCTACATGTGTGAGTTGGACAGGTGCCGTAGGTACGCTGTACGGTGCCTTGTCCTTGTTAACGACTGCTTTGGTCGTTATTTCGCAGTTGAGCTTGACCACATGTAGCTCACGCAGCGTTGGCAATCCCATGATGGCCGGCCCTTCGGAGTCAGTCACATAAAACTCTGCCACATCGTGGTACTCGCGGTACCTATAAGGGATATCAATGAACCCGTGCTGTGGGATCCTCGTGCCATTATATGCGGTCAGCACAGTACTCCGCGGCTTTGTGGCTCTCATCCGTGGGAAACCACCATAGTCCAACCTCTCAGGGAACATCCTTCTGTAAATTCTCAGGGGCAGTATGTTACCCTGCGCACCGGTGTCCACCTTCACCTTGAGGTTGGATTTGGCACGTGGGTTGTTTTCTAAGTCGATATCGACAAACACAAATACCTCATCTCGTGTATCGCTATCCCTTTGGTCACTGTCAGAGTTTATCGACTCAAATGACAATGACTCAAAACTCTCCTCCAAGGATGGCCCACTGCCACGACTGCCCTGTTGGTGCATGTCATTCGTCTTCTCTGAGACTGCATGGAACCGCCTGTTGTTCACAGATTTACCTCCTTGGGGCCACCTACCACGTGAATGTGACCTAGGTCTTCTCCCCACTGGGCTGACCTGACTATCTGGTCTCGCTCGGCAGACCTTCTCCCAGTGGTTGTCCTTGCCACAGGCCCTACATGTTGTGCTGTATGCTGGACATTTAGCGCCATGGCTGCCTCCACAGCGATTGCACTTCCCATAGGCTTTGCCCGGGAACTGTTTGTTTTGCCGGTTGTGTAACCTTTCTTGACCGCGTGTATGGCAGCTCCAGCCCCATCACTGCTTGTCAATTGTGCCATGTGCGCCATGGTTGCTTCACGCGTCCTGGCAATGTCCATCGCTACATCGAGGTCAACCGTCTCATCCTTGGAAAGCAGGATCTCCTGGACCTTCTTGTGGTGTGTGCCAATGATAAGTTGTTCCACAAGGCGTTCGCTTGCTTCACGCTCATCTCTGAAGTTGCACTCCTTCGTCGCCGAATTTTACAGCGCGTCATGAATTCATGAATGGATTCTGTCGGTGTCTGTCTGAACTTCTGTAAATTAAATCTATTTAACCGAGAGTTGACTTTAGGTGCAAGGTGTTTCTCAAATAATTTCCAGGTGGCGTCAGGCTTCTTGCGGTCCTCTGTAGTCACAGTCCAAGAGCTGAACATTTTTAGTCCTTCTTGTCCGACCCATATTAGCATGTACGTAACTTTCTCCTTGTCAGTCTTGCTGGCAAACGGCCCAGCAAATATCAGACTGCAGTACTGCTTGAACTCGTTGAAGGCACTAGGCACATCTGCTGCTGACCAGTCCATACGAGGTGGTTCAATGCCTGTCAAGTCCCCCATATTTGCCAGATTGTGGATGGTGATACTGTACAGTACCTTGATCTACCGTCTCCGGATCGGTGGTTTCCTGCCACCCGTCGACACGATGCTTATGTTACCACTGTACCATTGTCTACCGGCGGGAGCTCCACTCCACAACTTTGCACTGTTATTCTTATCACAGAAGCTCATTAGCACGCAACGTCTCTAGTTCCATTACGTACGTGGTTAGTTCGCATAACCGCTGCCAACATGTAACAATATCTTGTCTTAATATATAAGACGGAAATCAAGTTTAAACATTTATAAGCCATTTATTGTTCACGTTCTACGCATCCACACCGCAGGCTAGTCTCGGTTACCGCCTCGCCACGAACCCCCCAGTGCTCATGCTGGACCGTGCTGCCACCTTCCGAGTACTAATGAGCACTATGTTTAGTAACATGATATGACAGCCTCTACCGCCGGTGTAATTACCCCTTCGCTCCCGGTACAGGTAGGTTACAGCTACCTGTAGTGGTACTCCCACCAGGAGCGAAGGGGCTACACCGGTACAGCTATGCCAGCTGCAGGTCTGGTTATAGATGGGCTCTAGGTTGTCTTTGTATGCAGCAAAAAGACTATGAACGAATTTACCATCACTACCCTGTTGTAACATGATGTTTAGATTGATAAATAAAATGTTTAGAAAAAAAGTTAAAATTACCATTTAAATCAGGTCAATAATTATTGTACCCAGGAATTTACTTATTAATTTCTATCCTCGTTGTTTCCTATTGTCAAGAACAATCAGCAGTTATCGGTCCCCGAAGTCTGAATGGTGTGAAAACTACTAAAAATTACCATAGATCATCTTAATGGCTACTAGAGCCGACATTATTTTGCACTTTTCTTTACAGATGTCATTGCTCGTGCCTCTAGTTTGTGACAGTGTATGCTGGGGGCAAGTAAAGTGCTTGCTGGAGCAACTGAAGATCGTTGAAGGGTTGGATACTTTCCTAGAGACGCTGACTTCTATTCTAAATCTAACGACTGAGGACAATAATAACGCAGACGGTATATTGATGAAATCTCTCTGCACATATGAAGTTGGCTTAATTGATGCTGTTATCACCACAATTCTGCCAACAAAGATTAATTAACTGCTATCAGATTGAGTTATAATTAATGCTTAATTAAAATCAGAAAATTGTCATCTCATTGCACGTAAATTTAATTGGCAGCGCTGTTCGTAGCAAATCTGCAATAGGGCTGCCATTTAGGTATAAACGTGGTGTCTATCATTTTTGTGAAGCCATAATTGAAAAAAAAAATCTCAATCTAGAATAATTAAAATGTACGATTAAAAATCATTCAAATTAATTGCTTATTTATATCTCACCACTACTGAACAGAGGAACTACGTACTGTACAATAAATCTACAAAGAACTCACAATGCAGCAAAGGGGCAGTAGAATCATTACTGGTCATATTTCTCATCCTGGACTGCATTGCAGAATAGTGAGCAGTTTGGTAAAAAACTGGTCTACACTTAACCTTAGTATGTGACAGGTAACCTGACTTTCTTGCTATTTCAGCTGGTGACTGGAAGAAAAGTGTGATTGATGGATGGCAAATGTTCTGGAATGAAGCATCAATCGAAGAAGTGGAAATATTCCTGAATAAGATACTACCTGTGATAGCCAACTTTGCTGCTATGTTGGACATACTGGTGCCACCCACAGGACTGCAATATCATTTGCAGTACGAAGGTAACCCTTACTAAATCATATGAATTCGCTTCTTAACAGAATATTCCCCGGTGAAATGTTATGATAAATGTTTGTATACACACTACCTGCCCCCCTCCCACTGAGAGGGAGAGGTAGAGGGAGAGAGAAAGGGAGGGATATATGAATATATGCAGCAAATATGAATTCTATTCCATATAATATAAGAATTACCATGTGGGAGACTGGTCAATTTAAGTTGTTTGACCAACTCTATTGGCATGCAATCGTACATGCAGCATGTGGCCCCACTGGGCAATGCATCAGAATAGGCCGACTGAACGAATGAAACGCAACTACTATGAACCTTTTTATACTGCGTGTAAAGTAAAGAGTGCAGACATATTACTATAATTATGGTATAATAATAATGCTCTGCTTGAAGCAGCTTGCATGCATACATATTTACAATTATATGTGCAATGTTGTTCACAGTGATATGTACAAGGAAACTATTTAGATGTGGCGTAAGTTTTTGCTGTTCTAAGTAAAGCTTCAACATTATTAGAAAAGCATTATAACTTTGTCTTGTTTCTACTGTAGATGGAGCCAGTGTTAAGTCAGTAACGTACATAGTTCTACTCCTCAGGTGGGTTAAAGGGATGCTTGACCCTAGGGTTCCTTTAATATTTTCAGTTAAAATAGGATTAAATTACACTATATAAAAAAATTTAATTGTTAAATATTCATTAGAAATATTTTTTTAGTGTTTAATCGTAATGGCTGTATTACAATGATGGTGGCACCACCACTTGCCCATCTGCTTTCAAAGTTGCGCACCACAACTTTTTGGCTGCAGGCTACAGGCCGAGGGTGTTTCTTATTTATCAATTTAAGAGAAGGATTGCAATATCTTATAAACAATTTTTTGATTTGATTATAATATGGACGAATTTGTCCTAAAATAAAAATCGTTTGGTTAAACAGTATTTAGGTATAAATATAATTGTAGTTTTGTGATTAGCTCTCACGTGCAAAATAAATCGGAAATAGCGAAACTTCTTCAGGGTGGCAGCAAAATCGTGGGGTGTCTTGTCAGCAGTCAAAAATAAAGATTTCGAAACTCACTGTTGTTTTATGACAAGTGAGAAAGCATGATTATAGAAATTTGTAGGTATATACTATTATCAGGAGTAGATAATAGGGAAGGAGTGTGACATCAATAAACAAGGGAAATTCGTCATTTACTAGCCTTATAATGCCTACGATTTACTATGCATAAACTTATCCAACTTGAGCTCAAATCGTACACAGTACATTCGCCTAGCATCGTGCGAAATCGTTTCCTCGTATACACCAGCAATCCGGAGATACAGACTAAAACGTACGACACGATTATCCATTCTTTGGCCATCAATCCAAAAGTATTCCCTGCCGAACTTGCAAACAAAAGGCAGCTACTAACGCACTGTCGCTCACTCGGCGAGGCGGTGTGGCTCGCTGGAAGATTGGACATCGATGCAACACTCGGCGAGATAACCTTTGACCCGGCACACAGCTACATACCGGCATACAGTTGGTATGCCCCCCACGCATGCACGCCCACCGCAATCTCCCTGCGAGCCACACCGCCTCGACGAGTGAGCAACAGTGCGTTAGTAGCTGCCTTTTGTTTGCAAGTTCGGCGGTGAATACTTTTGGATTGATGGCCAAAGAATGGATAATCGTGTCGTACGTTTTAGTCTGTATCTCCGGATTGCTTGTGTATACGAGGAAACGATTTCGCACGATGCTAGGTGAATGTACTGTGTACGATTTGAGCTCAAGTTGGATGATTTACGCGTAGTAAATCGTAGGTATTATAAGGCTAGTAAATGACGAATTTCCCTTGTTTATTGATGTCACACTCCTTCCCTATTATCTACTTCTGCTATTATTTATGTACCTACTTACTATCATAATATACCCTAAAATTCTAGGGTGTTGTATTCCTTTTTAAAGACTCTATATATATAGACTATATATATGTGTCATTGTGCGGCAGCGTGCGTGCGGTGTACATGTGTGTTGCAGAGGAGCATTTGCACGGCATTTACAGGAAATTGTCGGCAATAATAGGCGAAAGAGAGTAGAGAAACATTAAGACTTTGGTAGTAAATAGATTTCGTATTTATTTAGCATTATATTTTATTGAAGCGCTCCAAGTGCCTGTGCTTAGGAGGATGTTGCTCACTTCAGATGAGCATATATTCAGATAGCAGTGCAAATGATGCATGGAATGATCAAGGGTATTGGGTACCTAGTGGCTGATATCAGAAAAGTCGTGATAGCTGTTGCCATGCCAACACTTTATTGTCATCCTCTCTGAGTAACCCGATATATACGTACGTGGGTGGCATGAAATTATTAGTGGATGATAACTCAATAGAGGTAGGCCTCCACGAAGGCATGGGCCAATTCTCATTAGAATATGAGAGAAGCTCGATATCAACAAAATGATGAGACTTCATATAATAGATATATGAGTGCGTGAATATATATATATAGACAGTCAGGGGGTTTTCAGATTTTTGATAGAAGGTAATCTTAATACTACTTATTACTTATGAAAACAAACTCTTGGGCCAGGGTTTGATGCCCAGAAATGTAAATAGCATATTTTTTAAAGAAATTTAAAAGTTTATAAATTTATAAAGAAATTTATAAGAGGCGCCATCTACCCCGTTTTTAATTATCAAAAACACTGAGATTGCGCGTTAGGAAGACAAGCAAGAGCATTATTTAGCCCTGTAGCTTCCTAGAGGTGCATTCTTATCTATTTATATCTATAGCTAATTAGATTGCGGTCCCCTGGCAGCACACAGTGTTTCTTGACAATACTCTTGTTTATAGTAATGTGTCCAAGCTAATATCTCATATACATAGAGTCAACCTGTATGTGAGAGAAACCACATGTGTTTTGTAGGTAGGTCTTCGTTCTGTAGAAGATGTTTCAGTGCATAACTGCCAGCCAGGGATGTTCAATTATGCACGCACCTTATAACCCACATGAATGTCGTTGATTAAGTTCAACTATTTGTTATAATTCAATACCACCACCGCCGCCGCCGCCACCACCACCACCACTACCACCACACTACCACTGGCATCATCTAGTGGGTGGGGTGTTTATGACTACTTAGCAGAATCTACTGGGTGGGGGTGTATGCACCACACTATCAGTAGCCCGCCCACTAGATGGTGCCAGTGGTAGTGTGGTATATATTGTGGTAGGTATATGTACGAGCCATGAACCGCTCGTGGTGACGCCGGACCGCTCGATGCCAATCTCCGATTCTCCCCTTGTGTCTGACACCGAAGCAAGAGTCGGTCAATAGTAATCTGCAGTCAACAGAGGAGAGCGGGATCGGGTCTCTCCCGTCAAGCGATCGCCGATGCCTTTACGCAGCATGGATACAGGCTGGCACCTCTTGAATTTCGGAGCAATGGCTTCGTATATTTTGAATGGCAGTCCCTCGTCTCTCAGACATATAGTATATCACGAGTAAATATTATCAAGAGCTAATAATATCAATCATATATAATAATATAAGATATATTATAATAAGTTATATTATAATCATAATATAATAATATCAAGAGCTAATAATTATTAGCTCTTTTTAATGAAATTGCGTATTTACTGGCGATAATACGAATAAAATCCGTTAGTGCATAAAGCGCGGCTCTATTTCGGTTCTATTATATATATAGCTATATATAAAGGATTTTAACGCTAATCTTTCAGCCTTCGTAATGTGAGAACCTCTACATATATGCCATTATACTCTCATATAGATCCCTTGGGTGATGCCTTAGATGTGAGTGCGCGGACGAGTGGTGCGTGCATGCGTGCTGGCGGGCGGGCGTGCGCGCGTGCGTGTGTGTGTGTGCGTGCGTGCGGCTGGGCGGGTGGGCGTGTCTGTCTGTGTTTATGTGTGTGCGCGCGCGTTTGTGTGTTTGTGTACACACCGTGCATACACACTTGCCATCAGTCTATATGGTAGCAGACAAGCAATTACATTTGCGCGCTCTCATACAAATTCGTGCTCACATGCAAGCACTCCCGAGCGCAACTACTAATTGGTAGTCACAACAATAGTAATACATGTGTGAGCCTGCGCGTGCGTGCATGCATACGTATATCAGACATGTTTTCAGAGACTGAAACGCCTCTTCAGCTTCAGGAGACCAAACGAATTCAGCCTTTTTGACAGTCAACAACGTTAAAGGTCGTGCTATAACAGCATAGTTGCATATGAATTTGTGATAGTACCCTGTTAATCCTAGGAACTGGCGAACTCCTGCCTCATCCTTGGGTGGAATCTTACTCACGGCCTCGATCTTACCCTGGTTAGGTTTCAGTATCTGTGGTGATATCACATGTCCCAGGTATGGGACAGAACTACGCATGAAGAAGCACTTCGTAGGCTTTGCCCTCAAGTTCACAGCTCTCAACCTAGAGAAGACTTCGTCAAGATGACGCATGTGAGTTTCAAAGTCAGAAGAAAATACGTTGATGTCATCGATATATACCAGCGCACTTTTCCCATAAGCCCTTCAAGTGCCATAGTCATACATCTCTGGAACACAGCAGGAGCACAGCAGAGACCGAAACTTGATACACTGAAATCACAAAGACCTGCATTTGTGGTGAAGGCTGTCTTTGGTTGATCCTCTGGTGCAATTGGAACCTGATGATACCTTGATCTGAGGTCAAGTGTCGAGAAAAACTTTGCATTGCCAAGATTCTGCAAAATATCATCAATAATCGGCAACGGAAAGTTGTCCTTGGTTGTTTACCAAAGTTGTCCTACCACATTCAATCTACGATAATCAATGCACATCTTCCAATGATCACCCTTTTTAGGAACGAGCAACACCCCACTAGACCAAGGAGATGAAGACAGAACGATGATGCCATTGTCAAGCATCTCGGACACCACCTGCACAATGTCTTGCTGTTTCGGACTCATCCGATACGGTTTCGTTTTGAACGGACGTTGTACCTGTCTCA